TTTTATCCAAATTCAGAGATAGTATATTACTATCACACCATTTCTTTATCTTCTCAAGTTCCTGTGAAACCTGTCCAGAGAGTTGCTGTAGGTTTTCACCCGATGCCCATATGGTAGTGTCGTCAGCAAATAAAACCACTTTCGCTAAATCGGAAACCTTGCATATATCGTTAATGTATAATATAAATAATTTAGGTCCCAATGCTGAACCCTGAGGCTTGTTTGTGCAACACAGAAAACAATTCTTTGCTTATGATGATTTTGATCTTGTTACCTTGTGCAGTAAAACCTGTTTGGGGCTGCCATTACACCAGTCATTTTAGTGCATGCTCTGTTTCTGTATTGCATGGAGGTCATTTAGTGCACAAATCAGATATTGGTTGGATTGAGATTGAATCTGTTAATCTGTAGTGCAAGGTAGCCTAGCTCATGTTGTGATCAGACTCTTGACTAACACTGAAGTGTTTGTCTCTAAAGGGGTTACCTAGAAAAACACTGTCGCTGGCACAGGGATTTGTCTCTGTATGGAAGTGCTCAGCAATGCAGACTCGCAATTTTACCGCAGAGAGGCTCGCATACAGTCAGAAACCTTTCCAGCCCTCACAATGGTGAAGAATCCTTTAAAAACTTACTGGATCCAGTTGATGATCTGGATCAGCACCCAAATGTAAGCAATTATTCTGTGAGCCATAAGCCAGCTCTCCAAAAAATGTCATCAAAATCCTGCTTTTTTTGTGTTATGCTGTTAACAGACAAATCAACAAACACTGGCAAAGACTTAACCCCTGCCCATGTGGAAATAACAACCACACCTGTTACTCAAGTGTTTCTGCTTGTCAGCGTGGTTGTATATGTGAATTGAGAAACCATAAAGAAGCCTTTGCAAAAAAAAAACACCTTGCTGTGAATGATGCAAAGTACTGTAGGGGTTGCTGCTCCCTTTTACCACACTCCTATTGTCCTGTTGTTGCTTTCCACTAGCACATTAGGGGCATTTTAATTCAGATCCACTTCTAATTGCTATGTTTTGCCTGAATTCTCAGCTCCGTTCCACCTTATGTAATGTTCAAAACTAATTTGAAAGCACAGAAATGCCCAGTTTCGCAGCAAGTTGCTCTTAATGGCCGACAGCACTTTGTTTCTTGTTCACGATACAAGACCCTCAGCAACACTTCCTTGCCTCATGACAGTTCTCCTGTTGTATATTGTGCAAGATTGTGAAACCTAAATATTCATCTGAATGCAGAGCCTGCATTCTCTTGTCAAATGTGGATGGCAACACAAGATAAAGAAGCTGGAATAACAAGAGAAGGGCTGTAGGTAGCAGAGTGCTATGGAGGGACTTGTATAGCAGGGAGACACCACATCCTGCCACATTTGATTTATCAGCCAAAAAGTGTAAGATCCTAATGCACCTTTACTGCTGCGGAATGTCCGTGGCATTTTAGTACTTTAAAAAAAATGTTTACAGTAGCTTTCCATTATCATTCTTTCAGCCAGTTTAGTAGGTATAGACAAGCACCGTGTCCAGCAAATAAAGGCTCTATTGAGCATGTACGGTCTATTATTTATAAAATAAAGGCTCTATTGAGCATGTACGGTCTATTATTTATAGTTACTTAGAAAATCACACCAGATTTTGTTTTCTTTGATAAATGGATACAGAAGTTACTGTATTATTGCATTTTACTATGCTATTTATGACTCTTGGGCAAATAATGAGGAAGCTCATTTCACCATATTTACTGTAGTCAAAGGTAGTTTTGACATTGGCATGACATTTAAAAACTCAACATTAACAATTATCAGTCAGTCTTGTTTATGTAGACCATAAAGGCTAATGTTGGTTTCATTTTAGCCTTTTTACAGGAAAAAACAATACATTTCTTGCATAATTTCCATTTGTTTATGTATAATAATTTTCCTGCTTTTACATTTTATTCTGATGAAACAGTAAAGTTGGAAATGTGTTCCATTTAACTGGAAGGTGGGATTGTGACTTAAAATCAGAAAAGCACACATTTGAGTTGCATCACGCTATTATCTGGACACCTTTAAAATGCAGTGCACAACCTAGCTCTTTAACATTGACTTCCCCTACCCTTAACCATTTACATTATTTATAATATTAATGTATAGTCTTATTTTAGACTTCCTAACGTAATACTCAGCCTTTCTTTTCAGTGATTTGATTTCTAATCTAATCTTTCTATACTAAATCTTGGTCATGGTTTACCTGTTACTTACCATTTTCATTCACTGACATGATTCTAGTTTCCTTATCATAGCTTCCTTTTCTTAATTCCTTCATTTGTTAGTGTGTGTGATTCTGCTGGCCCCACTGCAGCTAAGCTTTACGTCAACATGAAGCTGCTGTAGGCTCATAAAAAGATATTTTATCAATGCTGTAGAGTTTTGTTTCCCTCATCATCATCGGCTGTGTGTCTTCAGGCTCCAAACACTCCTTCAGAGGCTGGGAAAAAGCGTCATTTGCTTAGGTTTTGCATCTTCCCTTTCTATGTGATTGGCATGAACATGTATATGGCTGCATTTATGTTAAATGCAGTTACATGCTTGATCCTTGCATTCTTTCATTAGGTCCTTTACCACACCTGATCTTTTAAGAATCTATAAGGCTCTGGTCGTTGCTTCCACTGTGTTTTACACACTGAAATGTTCTGGATTTATGCCACTATGACAGATGTTGCAATTTGTATGTGCTGCTTGGAAGAGAGTGGTGTGCAGATCAGTTGAGACACAGCATGACAAAAATGTGGATTTTAATTACAACAGTTGTTTTTATCAAAGTCAGTAATTGTATGATTATTTTTTATATTATGAAAAAACAAGGACAAGTTGCCAAGTAATAAATTCATCATTATGAGACAGGAAAAAAGTAAAGAAACCCCACATTTCAGGAGCTGTAACCAACAGCCTTTGGAATATTACGGATGGGCTATATCAATATATGTAATAAGGAATCACTGTACAGAAATGGAAAATGAATTATTAATATCATTATGTAAACTGTTGGCATGGCTATAATAAAAATGATCAGTTTGGTAAATGAATCTGTCAAGTGACTTTGAATTTTGGTACAGTCTTGTTTTTATGACAAGCTACAGAAAATCTGTGTCTGAGTTGTTCTGAATCCCTAATAGTTCTGATCAGTGCAGCCCTCTGATGTGATGTTACTGATTGGTCCTTGAACACTGCCTTTCTTTCCAGGCCTCAGAAGATTGAACTCGGTGCCATAGGAGGAGCCTCCAATAAGGACAGCATCAACATGGACAACATGACTGTGGAAGAGATGACCATGAGGGCCAACCAAGTGACCGATGAGGTACACAGAAAAGCTGTCATACTTGTTGTTCATGCTTGTTGTCTGAGGAGGTATGAAATGATCTTAAAGTGATACTCTAGCCAGTATCAAATACCCAAACTGTGTGTTTCAGTGGTTAGCAGAGGAATGAATAATGTAGCAGATTTCACAATTGTCAACTGGTTTTTGGTAGCACTTTAATTTACAGGTCAGTAATTTCTGACTGATTTCTAATTCTCTCTGAAGTTTCCTGTAAAGAACTGGCCTGTGTGTTTTGGTACTAACTGATACACATCCAGTAAATTGATTCCTATTTATTGTTAGAATGTCTGTTATTCACTGTAAAGCAGTTCAACATGCAAATTTAAGTAAACAGTCCTCCAGGAAACATCCTTGGAAATAAGTCAGAAAATAAAGACTATTGAAATAAATACTGCATAGGATGTAAACAAGCAGTGTTTACCTTCACCTTTCTACAAGACGATTTGGGGAAGAGTAGCTTGTTACTTATAATTTAAAGACTGCTCCAATAATTATCTATAAACAAGCAATTTGGACAATTTATTCATCTCAGAGGCAAAATTACAGTTGTTAAAATGGAAATGAACCAAAACTGATGTAGCCAGAGCTGAGAATACGTGTGAGTTTGATATTTTGTGAAATATGCTATCACACTGAGCTTACCTTTTAATACTGAAAGAAGGGTGAAACAGCTAGCCTGGCTCGAAAGGTTTAAAAAAAATTGAATGTACAGTACCAGCACATCTGAAACTCGCTAATTAACTTGTCATATTTTGTTTGTTTGATCTGTACAAAAACAGAAACTAAGCTAAATTGCCTGCTTCCTGTAACTTCACATGTAGCATAAATGCACGAGATTGGTGTTGAACTTCTCATTTAATGCTAAGGAAAGCAAGTGTATTTCCCAAAATGTCAGACTATTCCTTTAATGTCCAAAGTACATGTATTTGAATGTAAAACATTCAAAGCCTCAACAGTGCAGGTAAGCAAATGCGTGTTCAGTTAAATGTAATTGAACCATCAGTTTTATTGAAATATTCGATTTAGCTGTGCATAGCATAATTGGAGATAATCAAGATTAATCATTATCATGATGAAATAATCGTTTTAACCATGTTGAAACAAATTTTGGCCTATCTGAAAATCAGTAGGAAAACAAAAATGACACACACAAGCAATCCGGGGGTTGTTCAATAAAGCATCGACAGAGCGGGGGGTTCTGTTAATTGGATTCTTTGCATTCGCAGTTGATTATGAAGGCAGGCATTAATAAGAAGTGTGCACGGCTTCATGCCTAATTTACTCTGATAGCTCCCCTACCCCTCTGCGGTTTTGACAGTTTGAATGTTGTCAGCTATATTGAAGCGTTTTATCAAGGAGATAATTGTTTAATCAGCACTCCAGGGCCTCATATGATCAGCCATTTGATTCCAACAGAGGCAAATTAACTTACTCTAGCTGGGCTTGTAACCGTGTACCTCACCTTCCTGTAATTTTGACTGCACTAATTGTCTGTGGAGTTGTTGCCTTTTTCCCTTTCCTCTTCTCTCTCTTTACTAACCTGCAACTTGCTATTTCTTTTTCCTCTTTCCGCTGCTGCCTGGTTGACTAGGAGATCATAGATTGGGCAGGACATGGGAGGGTCCTTCTACTAATGCTACTTACTACTCTGGCATTGGGTAACCACTCATACCTGACACACTTGGAGCATGACTGCAACATCAGAGTTTACAGTAATAAAAGATTCTTTAGGAAATCTTACAAGATCTGTTTCACAGTTGCAAGGTATTTCAAGTAGAGATGCACCAATTGGTCGGTGGAGATTGGAATTGGCCGGCCAATCCCTCCTGAGATTTTCGATTCTGTGCTGATCAGATTTAGAGGCATTACAGTCCATGTCGCACACGCATTGGCATAGACCAAAAGTGTAGTGTGTGTGTGGGTGTGTGGCATCTCGCTTACACTTTGAACAAGGCTCTGTACGGGGCACGTTTACTCAAGCATTGGAAGTGCTTTGTGTACAAAAAGTGCACAGAGGAGCCTACAAAAACACCTTGGTGAAGGGAAAACTACATCCAAATCTCTGACAACGTGCACAATAAGGGAATTACTGGCCAGACATGAAATGCATGTATATGTACAGTGTATCCAGCCTGTGGTGAAACACAGCAAATACAAACCATACACGCTTCAAAAAGAATTGTGTGCACAGGAGAATGTATGTAACTCACATTCTTCTGTTTCTATTACCTGTTACACCTGTTTATATTTGGAGAAGTACGAATATTGCACTTCATTTTTAGTTGGATGTTTAAAAAAAGAGAGACTTTAATACAATGTATTTTAATTACAATTAATATTTTCATTAACAAAACATAACAAAAATGCCTGTGTTTGCTTTCGATTACAGTTCTTTAGAAAATCGGAATCGACCAAAATCGGAATTGGCAAAGAAAATTGCAGCTGGTGCATCTCTGATTTTCAGTAGTAAAAAATGGCTTCCACACTTTTTAAAAAACGCTTTTTAAACTTTATTTAACAAAGGACACAAAGTGAGATATATGAGAAATCATGTAGATAGATAAAATCTTCCACACTGTTTTTAGCTTTGTGTTATTTACTTCCTAATCATCCTGGTATATTGCATCCAGTTGATGCCTGAAGTGTGTGTTTCTTTTGTTTGTTTTTCTTATGGTAGCATAACACTTGAATTTCATGTACTAAACTGTATTTCCATTTAAGCCATCCAAAAAATTGCCATTGTCTGGATCTTCAAACATTTGTCACAGTGACCCAATCTGGAAAATATGGCTAACACGGCAATTTCAGGCTTAATTGGCCAAGTTCAAGGCTTTTCGGAGACGTAATGTAATGTTTTCCACTCAAGGGATGATCTGGCAAAGCCGAAAGAGTCCTGGCTGGGCTCAGCACATCCCTCTTGCCAATTTTATGTTTGTCCATTTCTCAACTTGTTGATTAACGTATTCAGAGCAGACATAACAGAGAGAATAAGGACTGTGTCTCTTGTTAACAGTTCATTAGAGATGGTAATAATGGAGTCATGCCCCGAGTTGCTTCCGTGCTTTGTTCCTTTGGATGCTCTGCTCTCCGTATCTCACTTGCTATTAATAGAGACACAAAGGCATAACTAACTTGAACTGACCGCATTCCAGTTTGTTGGCAGCGCTTTTTGCCTGTGTACGTACATTAACGTCTGTGTCAGCTGTATTTGTCACCTGATTAGGGAGTGTTAAGACACAGTGTCAGAACAGTGAAAATGTCACCACCATTTTTCCCAATGCCCAAAATGCCTCATCAGTTTAATGTAATAATATTACTGTCAGAGTAAACGCTAAATAAAAGGCTTTAAATAGAAAAGTGTATATAATGACAAATATACCATCAGTGTTCATTTCTCTGGGCTTTAACACTCTCAGGGGCTTGAGCTGAAACAACTGCGTGATTGTCAAAACATAAAATTTCTCTTAATTGTTGAATCTACATTTAAGCAAAAAGGCCAAACCTCGTTTTCACTTGTATCTCCTCCTTTTCTTTGTCTTATGTGAAAAGAAACTGCTATACTGTTGATTTGTGGCTATCACTTGGGGATTTTGAAGATTGTAATGGGCATTTTTCACTATTCTGTGGTATGTTTAAAAATTAATGATCAAGAAAATAACTGGCAGATTAATCAATAATTAAAATCCTCATTAGTTGCAGCAGTAATGAGCTCAGAGTTTCTATACTGCAGCATCAAAGACCAAGTCCTGAATTGTGATTCTTTGTAGTATAAATATATAACATGGATGATATTCAGTTTTGAACAGATTTTAGAGACTCTCTTATCATATGCATCTGTCCACTTTTCCTTATTCCTTATCGTGTTCTTTCTTTTTGACTCCATTTTAATTCCCGTTTGTCTGTTCTGTCCTCTCCATCTCCTGGGGCCACATTTATACCAATCAAATTTTTTTTTGTTCAAATTAAATCACTAATAAAATCCAAACAAATTGAAACAGATGCAAAACCCTGCCCGGGTTTGACATCCGGTCCATCTCCCCCAGCCTAAACAACATCCACCAAGTCCTCAAAAAAGTTTACACAAACAGCAGAAAACTTGACATGATATGACAAAACTCTTGGAAGACAAGTTAGGTGGAATACAAATTACCAAAATGTCCTTAAACCCTAAATGTGAGTCTGTTTTCATTTAGTGTGCAAGATCTTGTTGGGGACATTTGGGCAGGTTGCCCAAAAATACATCAATCCTTCTGACCAAAGAAGGTTCTGAGACATGGCTGTGCACCAAATCAGTTCTGTTTTCAAACTGGTTTTTGCCAAGGAAGCTTCCACACTCCTCATTATTTTCTCTCACCTGTTTTTCTTCCGCAGTCACTGGAAAGCACACGGAGGATGCTGCAGTTGGCAGAGGAGGTGAGGCTTTGACAGTTTTACTCTCGCTGACACAAAGCACAATATCATATTCAGTGTAGCCCTATTTTAATGGCCAGAGTGCGTCTGTGTTGGTTTGTCTTACTTGTGTTGGGATCAGGAAAATCTCACTATTATGGGGGGGAAAAAAGCTTTTGACCAGGAAATTATAAGAATTGTTTTTGGAAGTCACAGTATTACAAGTAAATGGTTGCTTCTGTTATTGATTATTACACTGCAGTTTTCAAATTCCTGAAAAACCAGTGTTTTGATTTATCCCTCTCTCTCCAAATACATAAAACCATATATAATTTTTTTTTCCCCATTGGTTCTGAATTTGTGAGATTTGTGTGTTTTCAGAGCAGACAGACAGGCGCCGGCACCATGGAGATGTTGGACCAACAAGGAGGTAGATATACTACACAGCTTATCTTGATGCAAATGTTCCCAGCTTGGTTAAAAAAAATTTTAGATTTTATTTGTTGTTGCTTTTTAATGCCTTCTCGAGATAAGTCGGTGAACGCTAATGACCAAGTTTAAAGAATCACTCAATCAGTTTTGGATGTATATTCGCTTTGAAAGGAACTCATTGCAAATGAGTAATGACGACCATTAGCGCAGCAAAACTATGGCACTAAATGATTTTGTAAATGACACTAATGCACATATCATATTACTTTTTTTTTTTTTTTTTTACTGTGGCAAAATAGACATTTCATACAGTAACCTCTCTTCTAAGTGGTTTTGTGATGAATTTTCACTTCGGGCCACTGTGATCATACAGGGAAGCTGAATGTTGTGGCTGCTGTTTTAAAAATAAAAATGCAAATGTGTTTGAGAATGTTCTGCCTAAGGAAAGATGATGTATTTTCTAACTTAGTTGAATTCATTTGTGTTAACACTATACTATTGGTAAGAGCTTGCAGTCACAATGAGTGGTTAATTAGTAACACAGAAGAGCTGGATTTACACATCTGTATCTGCAACAAACATCTCAGTTACAGTGTACTAGCAATACTCCTGTGAAGGAAGATGGGCTGATGGACTGGAATTAAGTGTGTTAGGGTCTGCATCCGAATTATCATAGAAATGTTTTGTTATTGGTAAAGATTTATGTAATGTTAGTGTTTCAGACAGGTGTGTGTTTATATCTATGTACAAGTGCTGTCCAAGGCATGTTCCCTGTTTAACGATGTTTATTTGTTGTTTTTACCTGTGGTATTTTCATTAGTTTTCTATAACGGCTGAAATGACCCAGTTACTGACACAGTTTATTAAAGCTCATGAGTCAAAGTTTGATATTAGCTAGTCTAAAATTTAATTGAAAATTAAATGTGAAACACAACATAAGACCCAATTCCAGTGTATAAAATGAACCTAGATAGAAAAAAGAAGTGTCTGACATGGTGTGACACATTCCTGTCTGTGTTTCAGAGCAACTGAAGAATGTGGAGCAGGGCTTGGATCAGATCAACGTGGACATGAGAAAAGCTGAGAATAACCTGACTGACCTCTCCAGGTGCTGCGGCCTCTGCGTCTGCCCCTGTGACAGGTACACAGCACGCTCTGCACAAATGAATGCTCCAAAACCTCGGGGTGTAAAGATAAACTGATTGGAATCGGAAAAATCGATACTAGAGTCAGATTTACGGCTGTATCGGTTGAAAACCATAGACTCAAACCAAATGAGTTTTTAAAAACAGTCTAAAAGCGAAATGGATATCTTAAACTGATCTTTGGCAAATTTTCTGTAACTTATCACTATGGTCTACTCTAGTGTGTGTGTGTGTGTGTGTGTGCGTGCGTGTGCGCACCATCTCCTAGTGGCATTCAAACACTCTCTTTAATGATGCGGGGTCCAGGAAAAATGCCACGCACAGTACACATAGCTGCAGGAGTAAACAGTGCTAGTGTTAGCAGCTACCTCAGAGTGTAGTATGTCGGTGGGAGTAACACAGAGCTCTCTAATAGCGACGTTACAAAGGTGACACACTGTTGAACTGATGGAAACGGTACAGTTGGCTACGAGAGCAGTCAGCTTGAGGCAAGTAATAGTTCTAGTGTTACTAGTAGCTACTTTCAGAGCACATTAGCTGATTATTCCACCTGGTTGGGTTGAAGTCCTGTCATATTTGCCCATTTTCGGGCTAGATGTAGCAGGTTGGAGTGAAATGCTACCAAGATGGAGACAGAAAGACAGACTTGAGCTTCAAAACTGCTCCTCAGAAAACTAATGGGTGATGTCATGTTGGGTTTTTCCAGTTTTTATATACAGTTAATGATTTGGACAAATGACAGTGACTGAAGCTGAGGCACACCACAAGTCGCCATGGTTAACTGTTGACCAGTTCTCATTGTTTACTGTTGTTAGAAAGAGTAGACATCATGGAATATTTTAATTCAGTACTTTTATTGATTTGCAGACGTATAAAAGTAGACATCAAAATCAGTCAACATTAGAATAGTGTGTCGTGATTGGTTGGGTAGCCTGAAATGGCAACCAAATGGAAGAAGCTGAAATTGGTTCTGTAAGGGGCGATCAGGAGTACCAGTACCAAGCTGTGTTTGGTGGAAGGATGGTGTGCGAGTTGTCTGTGGCTCCCCATCACTCTGCTAGACAGCTTAACTGTCTGACTCAGGCTGTGGTTATATTTTAATGTTGGCTCTTTCTGTAAACTGCATCTGTATTTTCTTCAGATGTCAGTTTGTGGTCTATTATTTTGCCATAGGTATATTATGCCATAGGTATAGTAGCAGGTGGCTACTTCCTAAAGTCAGTCAGTCATATCTTGTGTTTTTGTCACATTAAGGTGAAAGCTTTGAGAACACTAATGCAGAAATTCAGCAGCTATGGTGCTGCACCACAGGGTGTTTTTAAATTTGCTATAGCTCTAATCCACACCTCTTGACTTCTTCTCCATAGCAGCAGCTGGTCCTTATTAATATTGTAATATTTGAAGCTGTCTGCCATGCCAAACTGAGCTCAAATAATTAAAACTGGTGGTCGGTGCATTAACCTGTATGATCCTGTCTGGGAGAGTCCTGTGTTTCTGTGCTCAGTAACATTTGGGGTGTTATTCAAATGCAATTTTAAAACAGAAACACAGAACTGAGGAAAAACACTCCAAGCAAAATCACCCTAATTGATCAATGCAGAGCAACCCTGTGATAACAAAAATTAGTTGAACGTAGCATGAACTGGAGCAACGGTTACAAATGTGTGTGACATGGTGAGGGAAAAAAAATAGAAACTTGCATGTCAGATGTACCTGTTATGGTACAATCACTGAGCACTGCCAGTGTTTTATGATCCAGTGGGGAACGTGACAGTTTTCCCACCAAGTTCTTGCCATAACGGGTTAAGTGTGCACTGAGCTGAGCACACTTAAAACTCTCTTCATCAAACCATATTCGTATGCAATGTCAGCACGTGCATGTGTAGTAAGACCATAACTGGTTCTAAATGTAAAACCAATCTTCCCAAAATGCTTTCCGATTGGAGGAGAGGATTCTTTGATTACCAAAAGATAAGGTAGGTACTATTTCAGCATTGTTGCAATTAATGAACATTGTCAAAGTAGTAAACGTCTTGAGTGTTTTTATTTGGAGCTTCATGTGTTTGTATTCATGTTTACAATCTTCAAATTTAAATGCTTTTGGGTTTGCTGGTTTGTTCTGACATTGGGTTTTTTCCTCCAGGGTGACATCTATCGAGCATGACTCACGATACAAGCGTACCTGGGGAGTTGGAGGAAGTGAAAATGAAAGTGATGGCAGTGGCTCAAATGTAGTCCAAAAGCAGCCATCTGGTGTTCGCAACGGCCAGTCTGGCCAGGTGAATGCCCCGGCTCAATCGGGGAAATACATCAAGAGGTGGGCTCGTACTCATTTTGCTTCTCTGAGAATCTTTAGCTTTAGTGTTGTCAGTAGCATGACATAAATTAGAAATTGTGCTAATCACATGCAACATACTGTATTTAGACAGTATGTTGACAGACCCTTTTGTTGACAAACAACTTTTACATCCTGTGGTGCAGAATAACTAATGATGCGCGTGAGGATGAGATGGAGGAGAATCTGGAGGCAGTCGGTGGCATCATTGGCAACCTGAAAAATATGGCTGTGGATATGGGCAGTGAGATTGACAAGCAGAATAAACAGATTGATCGCATCACTGACAAGGTATGGGCGTGAGATGAGCAGGACAAAACATTTTGATGGCTTTCAATTTGCTGATGCTTCCAGATAGCCATGGTTTTCTTCTTTTGAAACTGAGCTAATGGGAAGAGGATTTCCTGTTTTACTCATGAAATATATTGTGTTGTTTCCTCTGGTATTCGCCGCCCTGTGGAGTGTTTCACCAATTTCCTCTTAAGTTTATCTTCATAAATTTGTTCTTAAATAAGATCCTAAGAAAATTCCACATCTGATTCGTGAACATGTTCTTAAACCGCAGTATTGTTTGTACCAGTGTTCTTAGGACGATGAATCCCACTGTTCATAAGTTGAAAACACAGGTAAACCCCTCACCAGTGCTCATAAAAGGGCATGAGACTGCAGGGCCATGTGGAGTCTCGTATAGAAGATGAAAAGAAAAGTTGAGAATGTCAGGAATGCTAAAACGATAATCTAAAGACAGTGGAGCACCAACTCCAAACCAAGGAAATACCGATTTAGTTCTGAAGGGGAAAACAGCAAATGCATATTTAGTAGCGCCAGTAATGGATATAAAATAAAAAAGATATGCGAACCTCAATGAAGCATTCAATCAACTGATATTTGATTAAGGGAAGTGTCGGTCCATAAAACCTCTGCGAAGGATGCTCTTGTGTATCCTTGCTCATGGCTCCTCCAGGCAGCGTCCTTGCTCCTCAGCAGTAATAAGCACTTTGGGATATCCTTCAAGATGGCGGACCAGAACAACGTCCAGGTCGAGTGAGGAATGATCAAACGAGGGAAATGGGTTTTAACCACTGGGTACATCTCAAGTCTCTTGTATGATCATTCCTTGCTCTTTGACCGCAAAGAGTTCTGGTTCGAGCAAGAGGTCTGGGGAGCAGGAGGCTGCTGGAGGAGCAGTGAGCCAGGATGTAAGAGTGCATCCTTGGGAAGTCTTTTGCATCCCAAAACTCCCCTTTATTGGAAGTCAGATGAGGGAAAAGATTTCATGTTCCTTAAAACGCGTTTCCTCGAGTCCTCGCTTCTCAGTTTTTCTTTCTCTCCTTACATGTTACATGGGCAGGACCAAAACACAAGTGTGGATGCTTATAAGGGACTTGAGATGTACCCACAATTTACATCCAGGTTTATTTGCGAGCAGTCTTCTTCTCCCCTACCTTTGTTGGCACAGTATATCTTGGCAGATTACTGCCACCTGTATTAGTTGAACACTGTCAAACAATTGGCAGGACTGTGTAGAGGACAAACTCCACAGGGCACCTTTTAACTGTATTTATTTAAAAAAAAAATTTAATGCATTTAAAGTTGGTGAATTGCCAAGTGAAAATCAGTGTGGATGTTTGTAGAACTGCCTCTTTTCACCCTGCCCTTCATGTCTTTCTTTCAGGCGGACATGAACAAAGTTCGCATTGAAGAAGCGAACCAGAGAGCCAACAAGCTCCTCAAATAGACAAGGAACTCTGCTTCTGTCAATTTCATCTTTCAACCTTGAGCCTCTGCCACACATAAACTTGCACAAATACACACTTTGACTACAATAAAAAGAAATCCAGCCTGGATGAATGTTTTGCCCAGCAGTGTTTGCCTTTGGTGCACTAAGACGCAAATAGAATACAGAAATTTTTATAAATTGGCTGCCACATACCCTTAAATGTATTCATAGTCGTGCTGAACTTAGAGAAGCAGTGCAGGCATCAGAAACTGCACCAAAGAGGAAGTGACTGACTGCCTATCACTGCTGTTTGATACCAAATATGCACCAGGTCTGTTGTATCATATCTCAACATTCGCAGGAGGGGAAGTAGCACGGGTCAGCTGCTTTTCTTTCTCACTTATGTCTGGTTGCCTTTCTCTTAAAGGCAAGAGCTATGAACTGTCTGTGTGTCTGGAGGAGACCTGTCCTTTAATTATATATAGCACACCATAAATTTATATATCACCCCTCTGTTGGTCTTGGCTTGATATACAGTAGCTGCATGTATTTAAAACAGTCCTTGGTCTGAAACAAATGCATAAATAAGATTATTGTATCCTGTTTATTATTCTGAGATATGCTTATTTAATTATTCTTTATCAAGCAGAAATGACTTGTGAATAAAGTTCTTTTTTTTTTTGTTACTTTGTTCTCATGTCATTTATGCCATTTTCAAATGTAAAGCCTTTTCAAGGGAGGCATGGTTTTCATTCAAAGCATCTCTCCCTGAATGAGAGCAGTTTAATGTCAGTTTTAAATTTTCTGACCGATAGGAAGTCAAGACTGTTACTGTAACTATTTGCAAAAGGGGCGTAAAGCGCTGACCTGGTGTTAGAAATTTAATATGTAGTAATCACTTTTCCTTCAAATATGAGGGCAGGTCATCATTTCCTCCTCCAAAGCATCTAGTTTACTTTTAACAACACTGAATATAGGACACTTAGCAGTAGATTTGTCATCAGAGGATCAGCTGCTGTACTGCGTATTTAGTCTCTCTTGAGGTTTCTCGCTGTGACTGCAGTGTCACTGTAGATACTGAGGCATACTGTAGCTGTTTAGTAACTGCCTGTAGTCATTCTGTTAATCTAATTTCATTTTTCTTTACATCCTGGTTAATAGAGGAGATTTGACGGCCACTGCAGGGTTCCTATAGAATGTGTTTAATGTGCAGAAAATGAATTTCCTCAAATTTAATAATGGCACAGTCTGTAAAAATATGAAAACAGATGTTCAGTCCAGAAACGCATAGCTTTGCATTGTTAAACCCACTAGTTGTCTTATTTGTTCACTGGGTTGCTGTGTCGTGTGCAGCTGTTTTGTCACCTGGAAATTTAAAATGCATCCATTATCTATACTGCTTATCCTGAATAGGGTCAGGGGGGGCGGCAGCCAATCCAAGCTGGAATCTTAAAAGTATATTTTAGGAATTAAAGAAACTAGTCTGCAGAATACTGGAATTCAGAAATAGTGAGGTTGTGCAGGAACCCTGCTTGGGCACTGTAGATGGTCCTTGGTTGTGTTTTAGCAGCCACTGTATCACAAACGGCTCCTCTTGCATCTGTTGTTTTGTAAATAGCCAGTTTTCACAGCAAAGCTACGCTAAAATATCTGACGATGGAAAGCATAATTTGTTTTGTCAAAGCTGTAGCCAGGCTGAGAAATCACTGCTGGCAGCAATATGCAAAAGTATACATGTAAATGAATGTTGTTAAAGGGGTAAATGTAGAAGCAGCATAAGACCTGGCGGGCTCTGTTAAGGCCTCGCTGTGGAAAATTGGCTAATGATAAAGTAATATAGTAGGCTGAAAATATTTCTCATATGTATCTTCTGGCTTATTTGTTTTGAAGGAAAATGATAATTTGTATGCTCTGCTGCAGGCACACACCTATTGAGTTTGTTTAGATTGAAATGAAATGTTATTCAGGGCTTTGTGTTCAACTTCAGCCTGTTACTTGTCAGCTGAGATCTAATTAGTCTACCCTTAGGCTGCCTTGCTGTCTTCAAGCTGTTTATTCGTTGTTTTACCAACAGCCACTGGAATGTAAATGCAAAAGTTTTGTCTATTTTGAATATGTTCTTATGCAGCGCATCTTAGCTGAAATTAGCTTGGTTAAAGGATGGCTGTTCGACAACATAAAAATGCCTTTTGTTTCACACCTGCCTCTGTTAAATTGTTTGCACTTGATGTATTCTGTTGCATTTTGTTGCATCTTTTTAATGAGTTAAGTGGAATGAGACCAGTTTTCATTAAAAAAAAATGCGTAAGGATACAACTGGGGGTGTGAATCTCAAAATTTTGCAAGGGAGATAAAGAGGTAAATAAGCCCAAGCTGGATATTATTTTAAACTTTATTCTCTCAAAGTGGATTTGATATTTCCTGTCAGCATTTTTTTGGATATTTTACATAGCCAGAGTACAAAATGCAGATTAAAAACCACTGAACAGAAAAGGCAAGTAGGGTAGAAGTGAAAGAGTCAACAAAGTGGATGGAGGTGACAGAATATGAGTTACTGTAGCTATAGTGACCAGTGAAAACAAGAGGTGATGCAAGTTTCCCAAATCTTTGAGGTGCATTAATAACAGAGAAATATGACAACTGGCTCTACTAACAGACGTAATGTTCTGCTGGCCTTCTGCACACAGAAATGTGTTTTTCTTGTTGGCTCACTTGACAGCCGTGAAGATCTTGGTTAATATCTAGTCTACTTTGTTCCATTGTAAATGTAAGTAATCTGGATTTGAGCTCATGATGCTGCTAGAGTTCCTAGAAAACTCTTAAGCTGAACAGTCTTGTTGGTTGTTCTATACCCGACTTCCATCATTTCAGTGAGGTCACTTGAGTTGGATCAGAGGTCAGGGAGCACATGGCCCACAGTACAAGGCAAGGTGGCAGTGGGAGTGTGTGAGAGAGAGACAGAGCGCCACTTTCCTGGTGACAAATCCAACATTTGTGAATGCAGTTCCATATACTGGACATACTTTATATTCACTGTATGCATATATGAATTAAAATGTAATACTGTATAATGGCTTGATTGTGGAAATAGTAAAGACATTTTCCCACCATGCACCTACTGAATGTTCCCTACCTTCGATAGAGAGCATGCCTGGTCCTGTTGTGTGGTTTGGAAAAGCAGTCAAGATTTATCTGACCTACAGCTTGTCCTAGACTTTGGCTTTTTCAGTAGTGGTCCAGTATTTTTGTTTTCTCTGTTTTTGTACTGATTTAAATTCTAGTTAGCTAAAATTTTACTTATATTCTTACTTGTCTGGTTATTAATCTGGCTATTAAGACCAGAGCAAGATTACCAGGTAAACCAGGCTTTTAATTTAATTGCAATGTTGCCAAGTTTCTTGGTAACACTTTTTTTTATTTTATTTTTTTTTACATTTTCACATCGCCAAAAGCCAAAGTTTAAGACAAATAGGGCAAGTCAAGTTGGTATTGATTGGAAGGTTCAAGAATATCACAATAGCACCATATCAAGCTAATGTAAAACTTACTTCATGCACCTGTAGATGTATATGCTAATGAATAGATATGAAATGTAGGGTTCAATACATGAGTGTTGAATATGTTTCAGGTTCACATAAATGACTATGGCCACACCTCAGGTGAGAATATAGGCTATATTCAACACTGACTAGACTATGACTGTTAGTGCGTCGTCAGATAAAATCTCACAGTGCATAGAGCATTTAGTTTGCATACCTGCAGTTATACCTTACTGTACGTGTGTGTGTGTGTGTGTGTGTGTGTATACTGGCAGCACTGCACTATGGTTTATGCATTATTAAATCTTTACACTGCATTTACAAAGCCTGTTAAATTCACTCTTTCTGTGAGTAGCATGTAGCTCTCCAAATTCAAACAGCACAGTATTAGAGTTCACAACCATTTTATAAGGCAAACTGATAAAAGTATTCTTCAGTGCGCTTGAGTCACCCTGTGTCCATTACAGGCCCTCGTATCGTACCTGGCTCTATCAAAGCATGCCTCACTAAAGCAAAAATAACAAAACATTTTACAAACATTCTTTGGTTGAGTGTGAAAGGAGTATTCCTGTGCTTTACTTTAATTTTTGAATTTGGCAATTGTTAAAAAAAAACACAAAAAAGCGGACCTTTGCAATGATTATTGGCTTAAATACAGGCAAATGAGTGATTGCTTTGACCTAAAGTACAATATTTAATTCTCACAAAATAATATATAAAAAAATCTAGTGCTAAAAAGCTTGTACACAAATATTACTTTCCAGGTTGCCTTGGCAACCCCTGCGCCCGCCGGTGGTCTTCCCATCTCCTCTCACTTCTTCTTGGCAAAGCGACTGAACTTCTTCTCCTTGTCTTTCTTTGCAGAGCTGGGCTCAGGGAGGGCAGCTGAGGAGGAGGGAAGGGGCAGGCTGTGGGCTTTGGCCCCTGAGGGCCCTGACTCCTCCTCCGCTGCCAGGGGCTGAACAGCCTTCTCCATGGCCTGGCTCCAACGCTGCAGCTCCTCCTAAGATTAAACAAAAACACACACCGCTTACAGTGGGAAGTCCAACTCCAGTGGGACACTGTGTTTGTGTTTTTGTCTATTTGAGCGGTCATGCTGTTAACGGTGAAAACTTTTAACAAATGATTTATGAGGCTAAATCAAGGTAATGTAAATAGAAACAACCTAAGCTGTGAAATATTTCATTTTGTAAAACTTACCAATCCGTGTAGGGTAACTCTCTGGCTAGCTAGTGGATATGTAACCTTGTCAAACTGCTTAAACAGAAATGTCACACTAACAATTTAACAAAGATAGATAGATAGATAGATATAGAGACACACATATATAGCATTAGACCCTCAAACCACTGCTTTACATGATGTCAATGTTTATATGATTGCGTGGTTTAGAGCAGCCAAATCTAGAACTTTGTCATGTGGTTTAGGGAAAATTGATAGTGCTGTGAAAAAGTATTTGCCCCCTTCCTGGTTTCTTATTTCAGATCAAATAAATACCCAAGTAAACACAAAAGCTGCATTTTGTGTTTTCTTGGGTTATCTGAAACATTTAAGTGTGACAAATATGCAAAAAAGAAACCAGGAAGGGGGGAAATACTTTTTCACAGCACTGTATGTCACTGTATGTTTAAAACTCACCTCATCTTTACACTGGAACAAATATTCACTGCCATCTCCAAGACTGTGTAAGAAAGAGAGAAAAAGGAAAGCCAACCTAAAATTAATTGTATTCATTGTAGAAATGCTAGAGGACAAGCTTGGACCATGAAAGTTAAAGCAGGGGTAAAGTAGTTGACCTAAAACAGATTTTCTAAAAATGAATCTAAGCAATAGCATTCTAAGTGACTTTTTTTCTGTACATTTGAAAAAGTTAAATGCTGGTTTCACACCGGCAGCAGGCCTCTTTTAATAACTGGTAGGTAAAGTGAGTGCAGTCAGGGCTAATACTGAAAAGAATCTCAAATGAATGGTAAAATTTTCACATCTTAATATCTTCAGCATACCTTCAGCTAAAACCACCATTTCAACTAATAACCACTAAGCAACTCATCAGCTATTCATACCATAAACAGCTTTTTGATATTTTCTATGTTTTTTTGCATAATTACCATTTACATTTTATGTCTCATTTCAATAGCCACACTTCT